TCAGATCGTCCCGAAGGACTCCCATTCTTCGCCGCCGGGATCAGCCTCGTCATCCACCCACGAAACCCACACGCACCTACAGTGCACGCCAACTACCGTTACTTCGAGATCACCGAGCCCAAGGAGCCTGGCGACGATTCCGAGCCTAAGGTTCTAGCCTGGTGGTTCGGAGGAGGCTGCGATCTCACACCATCGTACTTGTACGAAGAAGACGCTGTGCACTTCCACTCCTCGCTCAAGACTGCGTGCGATAAGCATGGTCCGCAACTGTACCCGATGTTCAAGAAGTGGTGCGACGAGTACTTCTTCCTTACCCACCGCGGGGAATCTCGCGGGGTAGGAGGTATTTTCTTCGATGATTTCAACGAGGGCCCGCACCTCCGCCTGCCGAGTCCCGCGAGCGAGGTCAAGCGGCCCGTCAGCCAGGAAGAGATCTTCGCGTTTGTCAAGGAGCTCGGGGACACCTTCGTACCGTCCTACATTCCCATCCTCGAGCGTCGACACAATCTGCCCTACACCCCCCTCGAGCGTCGCTGGCAGCTATTGAGACGCGGCCGATATGTCGAGTTCAATTTGGTTTACGACCGAGGGACGAAGTTCGGTTTGATGACGCCAGGAGCGAGGATCGAGAGCATTTTGATGAGCTTGCCGGAGACTGCTCGATGGGAGTACATGACCGATCTTGGGGCTGAAGGAACGGAAGAGGGAAGACTCATCGCTGCTCTCAAGGAGCCCAGGGCTTGGGTGTAGAAAGGAAGGGCAAGGGCAAGGAAAAGTAAAGGACAAAAAGTAGAAGTATCATTATGTTTGTATTCTAACATCCCCTTCTCAAACAAAAATATCGCGCACTCTATATGCATTCGCCTCTCAAATACTGGATCCTGGATTGCTAGTTCCGAAGGCTGCAAGTGGACGATGGCGTTCAAGAGGTTTGTTGACAGGACCACAGGGTCAAATAGAAACAATCGACCCTGATTCCAACATTTAGAAGATCACCACGTCCTTCACAGCGATGACACACCTTTCCATCCTCGACCTTGTTCATCCCCAACGACCTATACCCGATTCTTTCCCAGAATCACCATCGATACCCCTCTCTTGCCTTCAAGAATTGATTTTGCGATCTATACTCTGACCTCAGCGTCGAAATTCTTCTTTACCGGCCAGAGCTCCGGACACAGCGCAACTATTGTATTCAGACTAGGGTTCGGTTATGGACAGTGGCGTTGAAATACAGACTATCCTTCAGTTACCGTACGAGATACAGCTCGTGGTGCTCAGCTTTCTCGATGTCCCGGAGATTCTGAGCCTCCGACAGGTGAGTAACCGGCCAGATCGTTCTCAGTCCCCTACAACTCATAGCAAACAGACATGCCATGCATTATATAGAACAACTCAAGAGAGGACCCTCTGGATGGGAATACTGCAAAGCCAGATGGAGTATCTCCCTCTTCCCTGCGGTATCCTTGATACCTATCGCCACAAGGACCAACACCTGCGCAACTACCCAGACCATGTCATAGAGACGTCCGCTCGACACGCCCGGCATTCGGCCAGATTGTGGCTACAGCCTCGTCACCAACCTCACAAGAGACTCCGTCGGGAAGACAAGGGCATCAGCCTGTTAGGACTGCATCTACTAGGAGAGCGATGGCTGTTGGTTGTTTACGCTGAAGGCGTGGCCTACCTGTATGACACGGAGGCTGGAGGTCATTCGAAATTGAACTGTGGACAAATCCCTCGTACGGGACCGATTCTTAGGGCTTGTCTAGCTCAGGAACCAACGATTTGGGCCTCACATGCCGTCTCATTCGATCAAGCAAAGCAAAAGCTTTTCGTGTCGTTTTCTCGGTCGCACGCGTGAGTATTTTTCTATCATCGACCCCAATGCTCTATGCTTATCGAGTGTTCAGTCCGTATTTCGTCCAACTGTACGAAGTTGACCTGCTCTCGCTGGCACAGACGTCCATCATTATAACGAACGCCTTTTCCCTCCTCCGCACCATTTCCTCTCCTTCAAACAGGATAGTCCGAACACTTAACGCCACCTCACAGCTGCTTGTTACCTCGAACTCTAGCCTCGTCGAGATCGTAAAGTGGGACGATGACGCGGATGGTCTGCGCAGATTTACGATTCAAGTCAGGCCGGAGGACCTGGAGGACCTGGTACGCTATTCAATGTTCGTCTAGGCTTCTATGTATAGGCTAAAATTTCTTCAGTGGAACGGCGTCGTCTCCGCACAGTTCATGGGACCATACATCTTGATCTTTAAGACACGTTCTTTGGAACTACATGAATACACTCCGTTTAGCGACGACGCAGAGTCTTCTGACGAGTTGATGTCTAGTTCGCCGACGACACTTAAAGAATCGTTTACCATGACCTTTCGTGACGTGTCGTTCTCTCACTGCTCCGTTACCCACCACCCCGCCACCGAGACGGATGTGTGCGAAACCAGCCTTCTGGCCTACGACGTCATCCATGGTCTCTTCCAGTACGACGTTACGCTGACGGTATCGACCACCTCAGCCCTCCCTCCAGTACTCGACGTGCAGCTGAAAGGTGTCTACCCTTTGGCACTGGGAGCTTCAAACCTTTATATACCCGCCCCGCCACGAGTCGAGCCCCTGGCGACCCCGCTGCTGATCACATACTCCTCGAACTTCAGCCCCTCGCCCACACCACCATCTGTTAGCACACAGTTCCTGAGGAGCACCCATGGGTCAGGGGTGTCGACGCCAACGCCTCTGACCCAGTTCGCCGCCGAGAGTGCCTCGAGAGGCTTCGTCAGTGCTCATCGGATGGGCCCACAGGGCAAACGTGCCGTGTGGATCGAGAGGAAGAGGTCGAGTACTGCTCGAGAAGTTCAGGTGTGGAGTCGCGAACCTCCAAGTGCCAGTGGAAATGTGTCGGAAGGACCCAACAAGCCCCTAGCTATGGAGATTGAGAGACGAGTGGTATTTTCGTTACACTCATATGACTTGCGAGGTAAGGCTTCTCTTGGGTGTTAGATGCCCGAATACTCACCTTTTTCTCGCAGATGACATCACTTCGTGCGCATTTAGCGAGTTGAATGGGACCATATTCCTCGGTCATAGATCGGGAGATGTCTCTGTTCTACTGCTGTCTTGAGGAGATTAATATTGCAATACTATAGAAGATACCCAAGCATGAAGAATAACGGATTCGAGGATTATTTGCTATCAAACTTGACTTATCAGTGATCGTGGTTGTTGGTTGTCCGCCTGTGCAACGTTGACTGAGAGGGATACAGGCTTTGTACGAACATCATCAGAGTATTCTGCTATATATTATCGAAGAATTGTGTCCGATCGTTTACGGATAACATGAGATTGTTGTCCAAGCCCGGCCGCCGAGCTTCCGCCTCCGAGTCCGTGTCCTAAAATTGGAAATGATTTCCTATTTGTGCTTGCCTGCACGATCTGCGCTGATCGTGAATCCGAATCCGGCAATGCTTAGGACCGAAAATAAGGATACTTACTTTGAGATCAAGTTTATAACTAAGTCCTTTATGGGGTCCTTGTGGCTATATGGCGGTAAGAAAAGCGAAGACAGAGAAGAACGACGGACGTATTTGTAATTCGAGATTTTATTTGCCGGAACCGAGGTAGAAGACAAAGCCTGGTAATCATGAGCAGGGTAAAGCCAACACTGTAAATAAATGGCTTTCTGCGATCCAGTTTGAGTAACAGTAGTTTAGAAATCAGAGACCATGTTACTCTACTTTGGAAGGGGCCAAGGACTATGGACCTACTGCCCGGTGCCTAGCAGAGTCATGCATCAAGGACTCAGCATCCCCTTATAATATATGCCGCTAAATTTGTAGGTTTTGTGGCTATAAAGACAGAAATATATAATGAGAAAGAAGCTTTGTGTGGAGAGTTCTACCGAATCGACTGTGCGGCCATGGCGGGCAGCTGCAGACGTAGAAGAGCGTACTTTAACCATTTCGGAAATGTCACTTCAGCCAAAGGCTCTTTGGAACACTGGTTTAGTGTCATGGTCGAGAACAACCGAAACAACAACTCACCCTCTCTAGGAGCCAACGAGGATAGACCTCGTGCCGGGGGTGTAGCAGAACCCGTTATCAAGACGAGTCCCACAGGTAGACAGCTGGTTGCAGCTCCCCCCACATCCTCCACGGTCGCAGAACCCGACGTTGTTAGTGGCGGCAAGGCACGCGGTGTTAGGAGCGTTAAGGCAGGTAGCGCCACCGTTGTAGACTGTGCAAGCACCGCCGCAGACGTTGTGGACGCGAGAGCTACAATAAGTGACCCTGGTGTCGAGCGCCCCGCGAGGAGCGAGCGGGCTCGGCGCGGTGTTGCCGTAGTAGGTGATCTTGGCGTCAGTGGTGGCGAGCCAGTGGTCGAACTCGGCGTCTGTCCATATGAAGGCAGCAGTAACAGCCCCCTGATAGACACCCTGTCAGTATACTGTGAGCGTAAGGAGAGCCCAGCACTCACAGGAGTCGGGCTGGCGCTACCTAGGACCGCCATGGCGGCGAGGCCGAAGAATTTGACGAGAGTGAAGAATCGCATGTCTATCGTGAGCTTAGATGAATCCGGTGAAGGCTTCTGACTTTCTGAGCTCGCAATTGCCAGCTTTTATAATTCTTTAGCAGCGCAACAAGGATCGATCGAGGCTTTGCTCTACCATTTCCGTCAAGCTTGAAACCCACCTCCAACTTCTGCATCTTCCCAGATTCAATGTTTGTAAGGCGAAGGGAACCCGTTGTCTGGTGAAGCACCGGTGGATGGATTCCACCTACACCACCTGACAGGCGGTAAACTAAAAATGTGGTAATGACCATTGTAGCGCACATGGAGCCACTGAAATATTGGCTTCGTACACGTATTATATACAGCAAGAGCAGACGTGATGGCATTCGCTGAGAATCAGATATCGAAGCGTTGCCTTCTCGAGAAGGGTTTAATACTAGTCTAGAAATGAGATATCCGCGAGACGCGGAAACTCCATGAAGCACGCTCGAAATCTCTCAGATGTGAGGATACATAGAAGATATATAAAGGACATCAGCTAGGGTTTCCTGCTGATTGTATCCACTTGTGGGGCTTTGTGGCGCACCTTTTCTAAAGACGTATTCCACGGCTGGGATGCGCAACGCTTGAGACGCTCAAATTTCAAAATGCATGCCAAATTACTTTTGCGGATCGGGGTCTAGGCTTGCCATCCCCGTAGAAATAAGACTCGAAAGGTATTTTTAGACGCCACGCACAGGCGCTCAACGGGTAAGATGGCGTTGATCGAGTCGGTTCTTCCCGTTCGTGCACTATCGAGCCTCGGTCTCTGTCGAGATTTTTGTCAATTGTAGGCTTGTGAATCATCGGCCTGAAGCCACCCGCGACACAGAACCTGGGTGAGCGCCGCGGTTGATTATGAATGGATATTGAGATTCCACGCTATTCATATAATCATCCACTCAATAAGCAATGGAAATCGAAGATGGAGCAGAGATGGAACTGGGTGAATACAACCAATCATTCAGATGTTCTTTGGCAATAATCCCTATTGAACGTCAAGTGGAATAATCCCCTATTCCGAACGACAATATCAGCGCTCTTGAATGTAAATTACATGACGTTCTAAAGTCGCCGCTTTATTACTGACCTGAGGGTCTATAGCTCCAGGTTCAACTTTCGAAAGTGATGGGGAGTGGGATGTCGAAGCACTCGGGGATGCCAGTGAAGGAAGGGCTTAGAGACAGTTCTCCTTCTGCTCTGGGCACCCTATCTTCAGAAATAAGTGCCTACGGAGCATATGCATTCTAACATGCGAAGAATCTGTTTTATGAGGTCATTCGAAGTCGCTGATGGCGCCTGCCAGTGAGCGCTGAAAAATGAATATTTAGCATCGCGTATGCGTCCCGGCCCGGTGTCGGAAGAATCTCGGTAAGGGCCTGTTTGAATTTTCTGGATTTCGCCACCACCACCGGCATACGCACTCTCAATTTAAACCACGAACGCGCCTTAACCTCGTGTGCGTGCTGTCCAATATCACTCGTGTCATGCGTCGTGGTCGATCTCAGGCCAGGTTTATCACCGCAGACACCGAAGGCCAACGCTGATGTGACTCGGGTTCGAGTCAGTGGACTGGGTAACTAACTCTGTTCTTCAAGGATTTCTGCATCCACTAAGTCGACATGATTACAGACGCAAGCCCCCTCCGGTCGGATACTATTGACCCTCACCTGCTGGAATCCTATGCCACATGCCAGGTTTGGGAAGAAGGGCAAAACGAGTACCAGAAGATCATAACCAAACACCATCTCCAGCTTCCTATTTCCATCCACAACTACAACGACCGCGCCTTGAATAGAAAGCAGCAATGGGACGATTTGGTCATAGCGTCGCGGACTCTGGTCACGGAAACCAGAACAGGAAAGGTTGTTTCACGCAGCTTCTCCAAGTTCTTCAACTTTCACGAAAAACTTGCGTATCGACCGACAGGAGGGGAGTACGCGTTTGCGATAGAGGAGAAGATCGATGGAAGCATCATTAGCGCCTTCTACTATCACAATCAATGGATGCTGGTCAGCAGAGCGTCTTTCGATAGCCCGCATATCCAGTCAGCATGGAATATCCTGAACAGCAAGTATCCTGGGGCCCTGAGGAAACTAGATCAAGACAAGACATACGTTTTCGAGCTGATTGATCCATCTATGCCGATAAAGGTTCTCTACAAAGCCAAGGACCTCGTACTACTCACCATATTCTCGAAGAACGGCGAGGAGCCCCTCTACGATTTCGATTGGAAGACACTGCCATTCTCGCGACCCCGGCTTCACATGGCTGATCAGGTCAACCCAAAAGAGTTGAAGACTTTGAACCTGGACAACGAAGAAGGTTTCGTGGTCAAGTTCTGGCGTACCGCCGACGATCGCTATCCTCAGCGTATCAAAGTCAAGTTCGACAGTTACCTCGGCAACTTGGATCGGGTTCCGAACGTTAAATCGAACGACTTAGTTCCCCTCCTTCGTGCCCCAAGCAAGGCATCTGTCCTCGGACATTACACCAAACATCGGCTTTCGATCCCTCACTTCAACACGGCCGTCGTGGCGAAGTACATGGACGACCGCAAACAACAGTTCCTCCGTGGCCTTGAGGGTATCGCTGATGACTACGGCGGAGATGAATGGGTACGGGCGATCGAATTAATATGGGACAGGATCGACGCCCTCTTCGTGCTCCAGGAAGACGAGTGGCGAGAAATCGTCGAGAGATTGCAAAAGGAGGGGTTCAGAGCCCAAGGTGGCGCAACGGGTACGCAAAACAAAGCTCTGGAGAGGAGGGTCCTAAAGGGTGATGTGGCGAAGGCACTACGCCCTGCACTACGCTCTCGGTTCGCTAGGGAGCCACCCAAGCGGCATGTCCAGCTTGTCGTGGAGAGCATGGAATTCCCGCAGGACCTCAAGTCGACCGAGAACATCAGGATCTTGTAAGCCCTCCGACCATCGTACGTAAATGAACCTTGCATCGGACCACGAGGTCATGCTAGTTTCATTATAGCCCCTGCTCGCATTTCCTGAATGGCACTTGTTCCTCTATACCCGGCATTTCTAGGTCGAATTGTGAGCACCCGATCGAGACGCTCAACCAGGTCGTCACGATGATTGAATCTGAAGAGCCTACAGGAGATGACTCTGTGGTGAGGGAGGAGGGACCTTCGCCCTAATAAGGTAACCAGTAGTACTCGAGCACGACGAAGTATGCCTAAAATATAAGCTCAAAGCGTAGATGACCTTATGAAATCCCTGAAGGATGTTATTTTTGGCCCTTTCGGCAAAAACGTTCCTGTTCGAAGTTCACTCACATGTTGGTCTGCGGCACGAACACCCCTCCGGCTATACACCATTTTATGCTGCTGGCGTCCAGAATGGCGAATATTGCTTTCCGAACCCGTTCCGAGCTCGGTTTATGGCCCTACTTCTTCCTCCCGTATCCTTTCCGAATACGTCTTCTGATCAGATATTTTCTTTTGAACATAGGCTTAATAACCGGTTACAGGATTTATCATACTTTTGAAGCATCGTGGATCATTAACTAATCATGAACTCCACAGTTCCAATCAGGATTGCTAAATATCCTTCGGAAGGTATATATTAGAAAGAGTTCGATTCCTCTCCCGCAGACTTCCTGACTGCCATGGACTCCTCGGAGGCTGTTTCGATAAATCTACCAACGCCGACAGCTCTGAACAGCAAAGAAGAAATACAAGTGACTATAGTCAGATCTGAAAGCTCTGTTGACCGTCAGGTATTGGTCCTCCACTCAAATCTTTTCATCATGCTCATGCTCATGTCGTTTTTAGGCCACTAGCCTCGTGAGAGACAAAAGAAACCCTCTGAACTTCAGCAAGTCAAGAAAATGGATGATCACCGTTGTAACGTCGTTCTTCACGTTTCTTGTCTGTGAGTGTCATGGTAGGCCAACTTTCGTGGCTGCCCACTGACCCATTATCAATGTATTCAGCAACCTCAGCTGTGTCTTTCACGCTGGGCGCGCCATCCTTGATGCGCGACCTGAATTGCACCGCCTTCGATGCGATACTTGGACTGAGCCTCTATCTGCTTGGTTTTGGACTACTCCCGCTTATTACGTCTGCGCTCAGCGAGGAATTCGGAAGGCAGCCTCTATATTACGTCTCTATCATTGGATTTCTTCTTACACACCTTATGGCTGCGTCGTGAGTCAGCTACCATGTCCATCTTTGCGACCACCGAGTTAACTATCGTGCTTGCTTGCAGATCACAGGACATTCGGACCGTTCTGGTAGCCCGCTTTCTCCAAGGTGCTTTCGGATCGACTGGAGCGGTTACAGTTGCGGGAACGATTGCTGATATATGGTCTCCACATGAGTGAGGAGATTTTGTTCTAAGAACGTCAGAACAACTGAAAAGGATATTAGGAGGGGACAGCCAATGTCATTTTATTCATTAATCGCCTTTTGGGGCAATGCAGTTGGCGGGATGGCTGGTGGTTGGATCGAAGTGAATTCGAAGCTGGGGTGGAGGTGGATTCAATGGATCCATGTAATGTCCGTCCCAGCCTTTCCCTGCTTTAATCTAATTCTGATCTCCCATCTCAGAACTGTGGTAGTTTACTTCCTGTTCTTTATCTCCGCTGTCAAAGAAACTCGGATATCTGTCATTCTTCGCAAGGAGGCCAAAACGCGAGGACACACGAGTGAGGAATCGGGCTCACTTGCCCAACCCGATGTCCAAAAAAGCTTGCGCGAAATGCTATATCTCTCGTGTACTCGGCCTATTGGTACGCCTCAGAATCGCGAGATGTTTTATGGAGATTTCCTGATTTGTCCGGTCTTTTTCAGCGCTGCTTTTCACTGAGCCTATTGTATTCGCCATAAGCGTATGCTCGGCTCTGTTATTCATCTGATGCACAATGCTGAAGAGTTCTTTCGAAGCTTTGGATCGGGTTTGCGTGGGGCGTGTATTACTGCATGATCGGGTGCGTACGCCACATTCCTTTCCTGGTAGTCATATCCGGATATATCGTTGTCCGCATTGCCTCTAGGTCCATACCAGGCGTTTTCAGGTCACTCCATAGCTTCAACCAGGGCCAAGTTGGGACCGTTTACTTGACCATGGGGTACGCGACTAATTTTCCCCCTTGGTCTCGTAACGGAGAATACTGAGTTGGTGTTGGCAGAGCTGGTAGTGTAATCGGCTTCTTCACCAACATGCACCAAGAGAAGCTCTATCAGTAACACGGCCCTTTCTATTTTATTTAAACGCCAGCTGAGCTTACACTCGTCCTCCAGAAAGAATATCGCAAAGAGAGGCCCCCAGGCCAGACTACACGTACCTTGCGTCGCCGGGTTTCTTTTCCCTCTCTCGATGTTCATCTTCGCGTAGTCCTCGATCCCATCCATACCATGGGCAGTGCTGGTTCTCGCCCTGATAGTAAGCCTTCTATTATCAGCCCCTTGCTTCAGAGGCATGAATCGGTTGACAGATCTACATTTGGGCGGTGTTCACAATCTATCTTGCAGTCTTCACGTATCTGGCAGACTGGTGATTATTTCCTCCCGTTCCGTGTTCATACCCCACCAAACATGATCAACCTAGTTATGGAACGTATGCATCGTCAGCCCTCGCGGGTCAGAGTCTCTTTCGTGGGTTCTTCCGATATTCCGATATTTCTTCTCGCTGGAAAGTGCGCATAGGCAGCATCCTGGGCACGGTATTCCCACTGTTTTCGGACAGTATGTTCGGTGCCTTGGGCTACAAGTGGGCCAATACCACCTTCGCCTGTGTTGCGCTGGTTATGAGTCCGATACCGGTGGTAAGTGCTGACAGTTTGCTACATGGATGCGTGTTCACTGGCCCACTGATCCAGGTGCTGTTCTTCTACGGGCCGAAAATATTGGCGATGAGTCGTGTTGGAAGAACCATTGCTGAAGCAGGAGGAAAGGAAGTCGAGCAGGAACAAGAGGTGGCCTGCAGGTAGGACCGAACGAGATCGACAGACGTTGCAACTGTACGCAGCGTAGGGCCTGACACTGTTCAAGGAAACAAAAATTAGAGGAAGTAGTATCTAGCAACAGCCTGAGGACACCTATTGAGTATCAATACCATCACCGGGACCGAGATCTTCACGGTGGCGCCGACAGAGTTTCCCTTGCCTCTTTCAATAATTCCACGTTCAACGGAGGGGTGCTATCCTCGGAAAGCCCCAGATAGTCCACAAACCCGTCCACCCTCACCCCTGGGTCCTCCAACAATGTTTTCCTCCTCCCATCCTTATCGTACGTATACTCATCCTCCTTGTCCTCGAAATAATCCCAGTCTCGATATACAAATGCCTCGTCGTCCTCCTTCTCGCCCCACAGCACATTCTTCTTCAAAGTCACGAATTCGACTGACGAAAAGAGATTAGGCGGAATATACCCCATCTCGTTGCCGCGGGTAAGCAGCATGTGTGTTTTACGAAGGCTTTGCTGCACAGTAGCCCCTGGCATTAGGAAGTGGATGCCCGACCGCAGGCATTTCTCAAAGTCCAGGAAAATGTAAACCACTTCTTGCTGCTGTAGCGCTGGAGTGTAATTAGTGCAAGGGACTGCAAGCCGGACCAGGAGCTTACTTTCGAGAAAGCCAGCAGACGGAATGCCCCGCGAGATCCCGATGTATTCGTCGTGACCCCGAGGGATTCCATTCCGAGCTGAGGAGAATGTTTACGTCGAGATAAGCATCGAAAGACAAGTTTACTTGCCTATATGGTCGTTCCAAGCTTGCAACGTCGTTTCGTAAACGGCTGGAGTCACCCTGTCCCTGTGGGTAGCAGGCCGCATGATATAGTGTTTGTCCTATCCATTGTGGTGAGAACTGACCGTGGCCGTGTCATTAAACGCGTACATTCCATGCTTTCGCGTGTATCCACCAGCAATCGTCGGGTTTTGAAGGATCGAATCGTAGCCGGATGCGGCGCTTCGGGTCATGATCTATGAGACGCTGGAGGGTGACGAAGTCGAGAGAGCGGAAATGAGAGTGGTTCAACTGTCCCAGAATCAGAACCGAAAGGTAGAAGTGGCCAAGTGGCGTACCAGCCTTCGAACGGAGATGTAGTCATCGTCCCTGTTCGCGAACCCGTGGTTGCGGCCAACCTCTCGTCTAAGTAAGAAGTGAAAATTGTTGATAACATCCCTTTTCGCTTGAATATCGACAGGTCGTTTCGCGTTCCATGTGTATATGGTGGAAAAGTCTCTGGACGGGTGGGCATCCAAGGTTCGGCGAGTGTGCTTCGTGCCGGGGACAAAATGACGAGCCAAAGGCCATGTAGTTGTATCGGATAAAAGGCGTCTGAGCGTGCACGGATTGTAGACTTTCATGGGGTTGCCACCTGAAAAGCAATAGTTGGCAGTAAGTCTTTCGGGTCGTGAAAAGGCTCACCGTTGTTCAAATAAGAGAGTCTCTCTGATTATTTCTACGGTCTTGAAGCATAGGTGTTAAGATTAGCGCAATGCACTTCTCTAAATGAATAGCAAAGTTGAAATTCAAGTTTGTTGGGGTCAAGACCGGTGCAGTGGTAGTTTCTAATTAACCGAAACCAATTATGTAATCACGGTTCCGTAGCACTTGTTCGGCTTGCTGCAAGTACATATGAAGTTGTAGGGCACTCTGTTAGTTGGCCGCCTCGAGATGCTGCCCGTACGCTTCTTTTGAGCGACACTGCGTGGTCCTTCATTAATCGAACTCCCAGATACTGTTCTTTTTTCGACCTCGGGAAGCAGCTCAACAGGTGAGAATTCCAAAAATATCCCCAGAGGTGCTCTTTACTGAACCCCACGATGTCGGAAGACATGCCCTCGTCATGGCGATACCTAAACTCGGCCAGCTCGCGTTTATCAAGCCTCAAAGGTTATATCCGTGACTCAGGAGCAAGTTGGAAGGCCGGAAGGTCGACACCCGATGGTCATGGCGAACACCGGCAAAGTTGGCGCGTCTGGGCAGGCCAGAAGATTAGAGTGCGGAGGCGGGGTACATACGACCCAAACGGCGCGAATGAGATCGTTAATTTATTCCCTGGATGGGCTGCACGAAGGTACCTGCAAGGAGGAGGGAAACATGAAGGTACGTCCAAAACTATTTTATTTCGGTTCAGTTCACCAATTTCGCGACTAGTGCCTACCCCATTTGAAGTAGAGGTCTTTGTCTCTGGGTATGCAATTAGCTATCGGCCCCCCGAGAATGCAAGTCGTTCACAAAGAGCGTTTATTCGGCTGGCGAAAGGTACGCATTGCAGTCGCTTTTTGGGCAGGTGTGAATTGACACTGGGGCCAGGCTTCGCATCGTTGCCAAAACTAGTCGAGAATGCAGGGGATTTGAGACCTAATGCTCCATCTCTTGCCCACTTGACTCCATCGACGGAAGAGCTCCTTGCTCGTGTCAAACTGCCACCCCGCCCAACGGAAATCACGGATGATTTCGATGTGGATGCATTGGAGCGTCGATTGAAGGACGCCAAAGACAACGATTCTGATGCATCGTCAATATCCTCCTCGCGGTCCTCGACATATGAATTCGATCCCTCAAGCAGCTCCAAGGCTGAGGGTAAACGGCCGCATATAATCGAGCAGAACAGCACTGTCGACATACTCCGGGGGCTACACGCCAATCTGGAGAAGCGGCTGCAGCCATTCTGGTCCTCTGTGATACCAAACCGTGTTGTTCGTCTTCATCTTTTCGCGTCTCCCCACCAAGAAGAACCCACTTTGGACTCAGAGAACGGGCCTCTCGCATCGGAGGACGTGTATACTGCAGCAGACGGGAGTTTCCAAGCAAGATTCCTCGTTAAGTGGGAGGATCTATGTCAGCACCCTCGAGCTCTGCATATTGCATTTGGCGAGGCTGTAGAAGAGCACGAGCTTCTGGTTGTCGCACAGTTATTACCTCTTCCATCCACACCTAGCTCAGCCTCAAGTTCGAACGCATACACTCATACTCGGAATTATTCCATGCCCGATCCGCCCTCCCACTCGATACAATCTTCAGCAGCAGCTCAACCATCCACACCCCTTGCCTCCTTGGCACGAATCCCGATTACCCACTCGCCGATCCGTGTCATTTCGGATATCGACGATACCGTTAAGCTTTCGGGTGTGCTTTCTGGAGCACGTGCAGTCTTCCACAACGTCTTTGTCAAGGATTTAAGGGATAACGTGATACCTGGGATGGGCGAGTGGTATGCAGGGATGTGGAGCCGAGGTATCCGCTTTCACTATGTGTCGAATGGGCCATTTGAGATATTGCCGGTTTTAAATGAGTTTTTCCAGATATCTCAGCTTCCGCCTGGTATGTCCCATTCAAGTTTTCTCAGCAGGTTTGCTGACTTCGGCCTTCTGTAGGATCAATCAAACTTCGTTCATATGCTGGTCGCTCATTGTTCAACGGTCTTATGTCTGCCCCAGCAGCTCGAAAACGCGCCGGGGTCGTCGATGTGTTAGATTCATTTCCTGATTCGCAATTTTTCCTCATCGGAGACACGGGTGAACAGGATTTAGAACTCTACGCTGAGTACGTTGTGTTTCATTTCCTCCGCTATCTGCTAATTGGTGCCCTCGTCTTGCAGCCTAGCACGCGAACGACCCACACAAATCCTAGGTGTCTTCCTACGTGACGCCGACGCCTCAACATTTGAAGGGCCCCTCCCTCTCGATGACCCTACTGGCTGGAATGCAATGGGTGCAGCAGGCACTCGTCCGAACGAACGGCCTCTTGTCTCGAGGACCGAAAGTGGTGCATCGGAGGCCCCGACAAATACCACCTCGTACTGGAAATACTTCGGTTATGGCGACAAGAAGACCAAGACCCCCGGCGAGAGCGGGGCTGAGGCAGGTCTGATTGAGGACGAGCACGAGACGCCTAAGCCGAATCAGCATGCAGTGGATGGTGCCCAAAATGGGAGTTCATTGGACGATGAAGCACTGGCCAGGGCAATAGCAAACGGAGAACCGCAGACATATTTCACCAGTGGCCCTCTGAACGACGAGCCACAACCCGTTCCATCTCGTCGAACAATCAATGTATCAGCTGCGCCAACTCCACCCTCCGCTCCCCTGCTGGAGGCTTCAACGTCCAACACAAGCACCATCAACGATAGACCTGGACAATCAAGTCCGGGCATATTGTTCATCACAGAACCACCTAAACCCACCACGCCACCGAGCATCCAGACTTCATCTCATGCCCACTCCAACAGGCAACACAAATTCGGCACCGACCCTTCTTCCGCATCAATCCGGTCCCAGCAAACCGGCTCTTCCACTTCCTCGTCAGTGTCATCGAGCAACAGAAGGGCTTTGTCGGAGGCAGAGAGGAAGAGGCAGGAACTCCAGATGCGGGTGTACAGAGCGCGGACGCAGATGCCCAGTCATGTGCCACTGAGAGTGTTTAGAGACCCTCAGGAATGTGTGGAGGTCCAGGAGATCCTCGACAGGGAAGGTTGGGAAGGGCAGGGCGAGCATCCTGCTACTAATACGGATAAGCAGTAGCGGTCTTCTGTTAAGTTAATATGTATTCACAACTGTGTTGGCCTTTGGCCGCGACTTTAGCACATGTACTATCAATCTGCGCACCTCTTACTATTATTTGATATCTTTAGTGTAAGTAGAATAGAGTGCAAATACTGGTCCTCCTCTCCACGATTCCAAGGACGAAATTTGTGCATTAGATTACAGAATTGGCCTATGGGATACAACAGGATGCTTGCGAGCTTGAGATGATACATAAATAATGGGGTATGAAAGCAATTTGGACAGCATGGCAAAAAAAGAGATGAAAGCATAGGAATGTGATTAAACTTTCAGCTGGGAGAATATAGATCCAAGGTCTATCCAACGCCTTCCACAATTCTCCAGATACTTCTCTACGCAATTTGTCAAGGCATGTAACAGGGCCTGATTCTTCAACAAAATTGCGTTGACGTGAGCTAAGATGCGTGGTTAGCAATGTAACTTACGTATTACACTTGGAGGGGATTTACCGTGCTGGTCCTTTGTTCGAGTGGCGTTGAGAGCTTTCTCCCCGTCAAAGAGGGACATAAAGTACCGCAGCTGGTTGTACAGCTGACTGTCGGAGTACTACGACTATTGTCAGGATATGTAAAAAGTCCGAGCTAGAAGACTATACCTCAAATGTGACCTTGCCCTTGCAACCTGGACGTAGACATCTTCGGCCGTATACACTCATCATTCGAGTGCGGCCGCCGCAAGTTGGATCGTCGCATACAGTCCAACCTTCATAATATTTGGCGATATATTTCCTGATTTGCACCTCTAATTGGGCTTGAAGGCTTCCAGAGGTGATGGTCTTTGAGCAGGCAGGACACGTTGGGCCAGTTGGAAGGAGAAGGTTTGCCTACGAAAGGGTAAACGGAATGAAATGGAAGCACATGCGGATACATACGCTAGAGTCGTCCAGAGGAAGGAAAGAGAGCTGCCCTTGGCAATGGCGGCATCGAACGAGGAATGGAGCGCACTCTCGGAATCGCTCGCTGTCGGACATCTGTGAGTCAAGACCATGGAAAACTCTTTCATCACCAGCAACTGATGAGCGATAACGCATAGGATCCAGGCCTATCCAGACGACGTTTCAGAAAAGGGTAAAGGAAGGAAATTTCAGCACGACATACCGAGACATTCAGCCAAACGAGCCCTGTCGGTTCCTTCAATGGGATCACAAAGACGCTCGATCGGAGGGAGGATTTGCTGCGACAGGTAATGCGTATAATCTATCACACAAAACTTCAACCCGCTGTGAGAGGGAACTCGGAAGTGATGCGTACCGATGGTGATAGGAGGGTCTGCTTTTCGGATTTCGTCGGGGTGCTTTGCACGATCTGCTTGCCCGGTCTTCGTGGATTCTTCCCCCTCAGGCAAGCAAAAGATATATGGAATAACATCTCCATTCCTGGCGGAGCCACCTCTTTGCTTCATCCGCAGAGCAACCTGGACGTGAGGTTGATTCTTCGCATCTGGATAGTCTTCAGGGTTTTTGCCAAGACGCTAACAGAGCAAGATAGGTGACAAAAATGGTGACCAGAGACAGCAACTATACCTTATAAATGATGAATTCTTCCATCTTCACAGCTCCACCCCGCACGTTTTGGCCAACGTTGGTAAGATACTCATGGATATTTTCAACCACAATTTCCGTTGGTTCTCCAGAGAGAATTTGGTCAAGAACATACCTTCATGACATAAATCAAAAGCCAACAAAATGTATTAGAACAAGAAACGTACTGCGAAACTTGCTTTGACAAGGCGCAGTACTCTCGGCGTTTCATGTCAAGACCCTTAACTTCTATAGTCGTCCGAGTCCCGTCTTCCACCTTAACAGCGGCATATTTCTTCTTTTGCAGCAGCAAAAGACGCTGGAAAACGCCGTCTAGATCGATCTCCAGCAACTTGTATCGGTCGTTGACTGCTTTCTTGAACGTTGCGGATATTTTCAATGCCTTGTCGAAATCGGTTTCGCCTGAATTGACGAACACCGAATCTGTATCTCCATATACGACCTAAAAAGACCAGAATGAGGACGGCGGCAATAAGAGAAAATGCGGGGGCTCCTACATCGAGGTTAAGAGATTCTGCTAGCTCTCTCGTATGTGTCAGAATTTCTCGGCCTTTGAAGGTTGTAAGGGCCGCCAACGGACGCGCATAGAACCTAGAATATTCGAATCCTAGGCACCCATACATACTGTTAGCTGTCAACTTCAATGCTTGTTGCTTGATGTCGTACTGGGGGAAAAGGATGAAACGAATTCGCTGTGGAAAACGTGCCACTAAAGAAGCGAGACTTCATACCTGCAATCGTTGCGCATCGGAGATTCGACCCTTCATCAACGATTTGACCTGCCGCCGACGGCTGACTAGAGTAGCAATCAGTCGCGGAAGAACTCCTTGCGCGATATCTGACGAAGGTGGTTCAGCCTGCCGTTCTTCCTCCTCGTTCTAGAAGGTATGATAAAGCTGGATGCTTGAGAAGTGTTAAGAAGTACTCACCGCATCCTGCTCGACCGCTTCGACAGTCGTGAAGTCGATGTTATACTCCTGGATGATGCTGGGATACAAAGAATTGAAGTCCATAACGAGGATGTATTTGTCCCATAAACCTCGCTTTGGTTCGAACACGAGACCGCCCTTGTACTTGTCGCGCTTTCCTTTCGTTTTCTTGCTGGAGCCACCTTCTACTCCGTCTTCTTCGGGTTCTTCCTTGACCACAGCCTTCTTTCCATACGTTTTATCTGGGCAGATGTACTTGAGGCGATGGAACTCATGAAGCAGAATATATTCATTTCGTTCGGCTCGTCCTCCGTTCAAGGTTTTGATCCTGCAACCGCCTATCAATACCGAAATGCAAGAGTAGATTACATTACCCTTACCAGGAGTTTCCCGCAAGGTTCGTTAATTGCTTTGTTAGAGGTAAAATCTGCACCTTGGACGCGATCGCCATCTGGAGATGGGCGTCGAGCTCACAGTGCCGAACGAACTTAAGCATGGTTTCTGGAGAGGAAACACCACTATCCATCTTGCTTGCAGTATCGTCAGGATCGTGATCTTCGCGTTCGAAGCCCAGATGTGTCTTGCACATTTCCGTCAACGACCATGTTGTCGATGAAATCATACTCTACAATGGTTAAGTTTTGCCGGACAGTGTAAAGGTACAAATCAAGGCACACCTTCGCGCTATCGCTCGCAAGATCACATAGGAGGCGGCCGTTCAAAAATCTGAGATTTGACCCCTGCTTTCCAATGTTCGGCCACTTCGACCGGCGGAACCGCCCCAACCTCGACCAATGATCAGCCTTGAGGTCTCGCATTCTGTGTAGCAACACGTCTAGCGACACTCCAAGGAACTCATGGCCGACGATGATGTCGGGATCAGATTTATATATAGTCACTACGACAGAAAGCATTTAGTTCGGCAACAAAAACAAAGAAACAAACTCACTCAAGAGGCTGCTAAGCAGCATTCGCTCGTTCTTCGTTGGAGTGATCGACCCTTTCGCGTTGACCTTTGCTTGTCTTTCGAAATTTGGAGGGAATTGATCCAGGGGCCGGACGAAGGTATGAACCGTGCATTTGAGCTGTTCTGGAGGAGTGTTGTCGTCGATGTTCACTGACACTCGGTAAGAAACCATCCAATTGAGGACAAAAAGTGTGCTCACTGTTATGCCAAATTCTTGCTGTTACACATACGACCTCCCTCTTGTTATCTTGATGATTAACGACAGTTCGTACGCTCAAGCTCATGATATTCAAAGGCGGGATATCCTTCGGAGCATTGGGATCGGTTTCAGGAAATGGATTAAAATCTTTAGGATTCGATACGGTTGCCTCGAGCTTGCACCACGAAATCTATCCAGAGAGTAAGCGTGTGTTGAAGGCGAACGGACAGATAAGTCTTCACCCCAGCATTGTCGACCCTTGGGTTCTTTATCTGAATCCAGCAGGGACCCATGATCTTTCGTTTAAGAACCAGATGCTCAAACGCACTGGTGTTCGTTCCCATGATTTGTGCAATGTTTTGGCTACATGCGCTTGCTGGGACAACAGGGTCTTCACGCACATCAGCTATGTCCCAACGAAGAGGAAGTGCACGTACCATTGAACCCGTAGACCACCTTCATCCACTGACTTTCGCCTCGCGGGATATCCTTTTCCCCAAAAGCATATTTACGCTTGACAAACTTGCCCCGCCACGACTTGATCTTTAATTGCTTGCGTATCATGTCGAAGTCGTCGTGCACGTCTTCTGCGGAAGGGATTATGTCTGTCTCATGGACGTCACCTTCTTCGTCCATCTCGACGCGCTTCTCGCGTGGTAGCACAAATAGGTTGCGTTGGATCCCCTCCACCGTGACGCAACATGATACCCACGTTCCGGTTGTCTTGTCCTTCAGCTTTCCGATGAAGTAGAGTTTTCCATCGAGCTCAAGGTAGTCTAACCAGAAGAAACGCAATGAGCCATCTGACTCCAGTGCTAAAATGCTTGCGGAAGCTGTAGAGTTTGAGGTATTCGCCAGTGGCCCAAGTGTATCTTCTGTTTCGACCGCCAGAGAATCATAGACCGACAACCACGCAGGTTTGGCATCGGGGTCCTCTTTCTTCTTCGATGGTGCGGGTTTTGCAATGGGTTTCCTGCTTATTGTGGGTTCTATTTCCTCCTTCTTCACCGCGGGTTTAATGTCAACGTCCATATCCATATCCATATAGGCGTCCATGTCAATGTCGTCGAACGACGCGTCGAAGTCATCTGAGCTGCTATGCACGTCCAGATTCTTCAGACGCTCAGTAGCTGGTGCCATGCCATTTTCATCAACCCGAGCTCGTTTGTTGGGACTCGTAAACGCTTCGTCGCTTGACGGAAAGTGATTTTCTTCCGTAGGGCCATCGGAGGAGAAGTCGCCATATGATGGCTCTCGTCGATATGATTTGAGGTCGGTGCGCTTGGGAGGTGAGTCCGGTTCCGAGTCAGAGGGGGGAGAAGGTTTGCGTTTGCGAGAGGTTTTGCTGGGGAGGGGTTTAGAAACGATCTTATCCATGTTTCCAAGTATAGAAGACATGAAGTCCTCTTCTTGTTCTGCAGAAACGACAGGACGATAGGCGCTGATTGAGGGTGCAGTTTCGGGAGGTGGACGCGGTTTTGCTTTTGCTTTCATGGGCTCTGCCTTTAACTTCTTACGAGTAGCTGTACCCATATCAGATGAGTCAGAAAATCAGGGAAAGACGCGTACCTTTCCTGCGATCCTCCTCGTCATCGGATTCCTCGCCCTTCTCTTCACCACCAATCCAGTCATCCATACCATTGTCGACATAACCATGAGCGCCATCGTCGACAACAAAGTCGTCGCGTTCTAAACGTCCCTTTACAATGCTGCGATACTGGTCCTCGGTCACTTCGTCGTAAAGCTTCTCATCCTCTTCCTGCACCAACTCATCAAAATTGATCTCGAGAGAAACCACAACGACGCTCACTTTCAGAACACGTTTTTCACCTTGTCTGGCACGCTTGTACTCTGCCAGACGATCAAGCTTAGACTTCTTTTCGCGTCGAGAACGATCCGCCATGGTGTCTGGTACGTGGAAAGCGCGTGCAGCGTCTCGTAGACCGCGTCACGGTCAGAGGTGTTGTCGGAGCTGGAAGCTGAGTTTACGCGACCGTCACAGGGGCAAGTGACACGACTCCCTCGCGTCTGCCATCCATCATCCTGCCTGCGATCGATACGGCCATGTCGTCTTTTCTTGAGAAAACAGTGGCGAGAGAACTCAAGAAGTTGTCTCCGACTGAAGCTAGATTGCGATCAGGACCAAATGGCGAAGACATTCAACCCAGGCAATGCGCAAATATAGGTCGAGGAAAGAAGTCCGATACCAAAATCAACAAACAGTGCAAGAAAGACGCTACACTTCTTTGCCCAGATGTATCTTACTTTCTTGGCTCCGTAACTCGAATCCTGTTTAATTATCTAAACAGTGTGAGAGTATGTAGGACAAGTTTTCTTGTTCCGAACGCCACTCAGGTCCTTGGCTAATATTGCTCCAAGGAATGCCAAAAATCCCACCGCAAAACTCATCAGGAATGGTGTCGTAACCCACTTCGGGACGCTTCTTGGCTCCCCGGGTGGTTTGTCGAACGTCGGGAACCTGTTTTCATGCAGCCTACCGATGGCAAGTTCCAGCTCGCCGATGACGATTTGTACCAATACGACGGTACTCTGTGGGCTGTCGGTTTACCTGTCGATTGTATCAACTTGGCCATGAATGAAGGCAACCCCTCCCAAGATCTCAAGCTCTGTTTTGCCGGTCAGTAATTCTGTACATTTGCAGACACTCTTGATCTTACGGATCTAATGGATATCAGACAGCACTGATATCCGGAGCCTTGTGGCTAGCATCGACAATCTGCCAGACGACTACACAGGAAGATTAGACGTCATCTTACAAGATCAGAATTCCCTCTACGCCAATAGGAACCTCATTATTCTCTTCACCCTACTATCTAGCGATCTTCCTGTCGACGATGCTGTTGAACTTGCCATCCACCTGTGGTATTCGTCGGCACTCACAAAACCCATGGCATCCGCTTACTATCAGTGCCTCAAGCGCATCTTTGGATCTTATGAACACTACGATCTAATTAAGCCATTTACCTTGCGTTCTGGGGAGCTCTGGAAGCCGAAATTCGCACTGCGCGGGGCGGGCAGTCTTTCCGTCCAAGTGGACGTCGCTTCTGTAAAAAGAACTTTGGAAATGTGTCTGTCTGAATATACTTTTGAGAAGGCTCGTCGGAATATGACCAGGTCTATGCACCACCCGAAACGCAAGGACGTTGTCGATCGCCTGATGGTACCGCTCGAGGTCAATCATCGCATCGCACTCGCGCATTTCCGCGACACATGCATTCTCCTGCCATTCGCAGCGGATACCTCATACCATCGAATTCAATCGACCTAATCAGTGAGTGCTCTCTAACCCTAAGCGGGCCTCTATCTCTAAGGCCGTTCACAAGCCTATTGTATACCGAGTCCGCAAATTGGCTTGTTCGCCATACTGCCGACCCTATGTACGGCTGGGACGTTGACAAAGTCCGGAAGACTGGCGAAGACCTGGATTTACTCCCCAGCGACCTTTATGAGGCCCTGTACTTTCATGTCAAGGATCAGCTCAAGACCTTTGTCACTCGCACTCAACAACTCAACATCAATATCACTGTCGTATCCTGCATGTCAGGTCAATTCCCTGGCATGATTTCGAACGGCAATTATGGAATCACAACCTTCGACCGTATCGATGTAAGGCGTCAAGCCGACCCAGACAATGTCAAACCAACTTTGCAGAATTGGGGTCCACTTCTCAACCACGAGAATCCGCATGCGAGTCTCCTTGTGTTCTTCCACGAATGGACCACTGAGGAGCCGACTGGAAACCACGACAATGCTGACGGTGAAAAGCAGACACAAATGCTGATCAACTGCGCGAGCGCCTTGGTTGGTGTCTTTCGATTTTCTTTTCTTATTCAGCTTGCGTCCCTTACCCGTTTTCTATAGGGATTAGACTTCCGGAAGGTTGGCCGAGACGGCCCCAGATCACCTGACTTCCTTTACATGATGGAATGCATTGGCATCTGGCACGATACAACAGCGCCTTTCAAGAAATTCCTGAACGATAAGGGCGCACATGAAGCCGCCGCTTCTGTTGGTTTGAAAATCAGAGAAACGAATCGCGTTCATCCTGCCGTAGGTCGCATGCCGAGACTTCACGACCCTCGTCGCTTAGATTTACACCTTATATCAGCGCTACGGAATACCCCTTGCTTCCCCGAAGACAGACCTACAAGATATCACCAAAGAGGAAGTCTATAACACATGTGTGTACAAGTCTTTAGTTGTGTCCATTCAAAAAGGCTCTGGACCGCTGACCTTTCGACCTCCGCAGTTACCCTGGGGAGTGCCGACTATTCGATGCGGCTCGCAGAGTTCGGAGTATTGCCGCGCCATTGAACGATTTTCATTTACTCAAGTTCTCTAATGTACATGGTGTTTGTACGAATGCATGGGTTTGTTCTGACGAAAGGCTTCCGTTCTGGCACCCGTTTCCTAATCGAAGACCCATGCAGCAGCCCCAATGTCAAACCCACGACAGCCACCCGACCGTTGTCGACCAACCTCAGCGAACATCGCGGACTGGAGAAGCTCAGGGGCCATTCTGAGTCCCGTCGCGAAGGCACTCGGTCTATCTCCCTTCATCACGTAATGGCTGCACCTCGCCTCCTTCTCGGCCGGATTCCATTCTTCCCGCAACACCGCGGCGTCGCGTTCTTAGGTGCCTTATCCAGTCCCAAAATCGACGTGGGGCCATATAAGAGCACTACATCACAATGAAAGTCCTACGAGCCACCCTTCCAGGCTCTGTCCAGGATGTTTGGGGATTACCGGCTATATCGCGAGGTGCTCTCCAGAGTAACGCGGCCTATATTCTCTATCACGAACCAACTTCACCCGGAGACTGCTGCCAGCGACATCTCCTTGGAATCGTACATGGCTTACGGCCTAGGGTCGGGTATTAACGGTCGATTGGTTTTTGAAGTTCCGTGCAGCAACGCTGTGAACCGAGGGAGTGGGAGCGATTGTATAAACAATGGACTCCTGGCATGCTCGCAGGTAAGCAAAGCTTGGTATCTGTCTCGCAGAAAAGGTCTGATCCTTGACTCAGTGTTGCCTCGTCAAGGTAAATCCGCTTTTTTCGAACTTGAATGAAAGCTGAGCGACCTCCTTCAAGTACTGCTCTGAGCGGTGCCAGAGACAGCATTGGCCCAAGCACCGCCTTGACTGCGAACACCCATACCTCAACCCTGCATGGGAACCCGAATGGATGCTACACAAACGAGAGCCCTTGTTTGCCGATTCTCGTTTTCTGCCCCCTTCGTCTTCAAGTGATGCATACAAAAATCCAGGATACCCGGCTTACGACTGTCTTCGGTTACAATACAACGAGAGAGAAGCGGCTCTCGACAAGGATTTGAAGATATGCATGGCAGGTATGTAGGCCGCTAGTCAATCAATTCTTCCCTGATTTCGCATCCCTCCTTTCCTGAATCCTAGCTGCTGGTGACATCCATAACCTCGTTGAACTTGTGAATAGCCTGCCAGATGAATATGCCGGAAAGCTTGACATACTCCTCAACAATAGTCATGCTGTTGTTCTCAATCGGATGTTGGTCATCCTCTGTGTCCTCCTCACTCCGGGACCTTCAATCGACGAATCGGCTGAAGTTGCGATGCATCTCATGTGTTCAGCCTTTCTACCGGACTCAGCTGCAGCATACATGCGACATTGCGTAGACCTCATCTACGGGAAAGACTTCAACGAACGCGACATGTCCTTCCAAACGACCCTGAAGACCCGAGGTCGAGGAAAACTTTACTCTGCCCAGCCTTCAGCTAGTATCAAGAAGCCTCTCGAGCTGTTCTCTTCAACATATGGTATACAGAAGGCTCATAGAAGCATGCAAAACGCTTTTCAAGATCCATTCTTCACGGATGATAGGCATAAGACGTTGTGCATGCTTCGACCTGCCCATCGCCTTGCGCTCGAACGTTTCTGGAAAACAGGCATCCTGGTCCCCGTTTCCTCTCGATACAACACCTTTCAAGTCGCCTAATAGGTACGATCTGGTCGCTTTCGAGATGAACAATGCCAAAACTCTATCGCAACTCTCAGGTTGATGTACACACCGCAAGGAGACTGGATAGGCCTCAGTAGCAACGTCAACCCGCTTCACGGATGGGACATGTCTGCCGTACGACGAACAGGCCTACAGCACGGCGTCGACCCATCCGGCGATATTCTCGGCGCGCTCTTCTTCCACATCAAATCCGAGCTTCGAGAGTTCTGCCTGCGTATCAAGGAGTACAACATCAGTATTCACCTCCTCCAGTACGACTCGCGCCTCATCTCGAAAGGGATCTCCATCGGTGTCCTACCTGCGTTTTCTGAAGCCTCCTTCGACCGCATCGACGTGGGTGATCTGGGAGACCAGATTGGTGTCGCTGAGTGCCTAGGGGATTGGGGCCCGCTCCTGAACAAGAAGAATAAACATGCGTGCCTCGTTATGCACTCGAAGAAGTGGCATGAAAATTCGCCACACAGGATAGCGCGCAATAACCCGCGGGCTGGTAAGATTCTGATGGAGCGGTGCCAGAGCCAACCTCACCTCGTAAGTCCTCTTTACTTCCACTCTATGATCCGCTTGTTGTGTTCCTGCTTCTTCATTTTGCTCTTATGCTTTACTTCGTTCCGTCCGCTCAACGCTAACTACTATTCCCTTCTTTTCTTCTCCGAGCAGAAGTCCAGACTCAAGACTTTCTTCAAGAATCCACATTCTCCATCCGTCGCTCGGCTGATGGCCTCCTTAGATGCGTTCGTCGATCATGAGGAAGCCTTCTTGGACTACCTAGAAGCACAGGAGGCACAGGCAACGGCCGCGAGCCTGGGCCTGACTCTTCGCGAAGTGCACTCTGTTCATCCCAAGCGGGTTGGCGTGCCTTTATGGGCTGAGCGCCAGATCCTTCCAAACCTGTCGAAAGATGATTTTTATGACCTATGTGAGCTGCTCTCATCTTGCCGATGGATGTTCTGCGGCTAATATTCGACTATTCAGTTACTCTTGGGGGGGCGGACCTTACGCTGCGTTTCGCGGAATTTGAATGCAGCTCGTTTCTTGCTTGACCCTTTAGCGTCGCAAGGTACTTGTTGGAAAATGGACCCTGGAGGAACTACGATATTATACACGGATGGATTGGACAGGGACACAGATAACATATAGTAATGGACAAATTTTAAATGTAAATGGCGAACCTTTGAATCAACAAAGCTCAGGGCTAATGCTTGCTGTTACACATGTAATACTTATATTAATATGGCTGATACATTTAGTCTATATGATGGATAAAAGATGTGGACTCGGATGCGTCAGAATACAGGGCTTGCAGGAGAGATGATAGCGGTCGAGAAGCGATGCGATGACGAGAGCTTGGGAGAGGGACGAGGATATACAATACTTGGATCCTGATGATCGTGGAAAGTTCAAGGCCGTAAGTCGTGAGCGTCCAGCACGTTCGGTCATTATAGAAAGGTTATCTATCGTTGGCTTGCCATGACCGCCTTCGAGAATTTGCTCCGCTGTCGAATGGCAGGTCCATAAAAGAAAAGGACCTATTCCCCCCAAAAAAAGTGTCAGCAACACAATCCCTTTTGAAAATCCAGCAAACTGAAACGTACGAAAGGAATGGGCATCATCAATGCACTCACACACCCAAACAGCGTATTCGCCCACTTATACCCCAGGTGCTCATACATCTGCGTCGTGAACAACGGGAACGCCGTCGCCGCTAAATTCCTTGCCAAACTCTGGCCAGCAAGGGCGCTTGACGCGAACGGGCCGTAGCAGTCCGCGAGGTAGGAGAAGACAGCGAGGTAGACGGAGAATGTGGCCCACATGTACAGGGTGATGCCGACAGCGAGGGCCATCCAATGCACATGTGGGAAGGAGGACCAGGCGTAGATGAACATCCCGACGGGGAAAGCGATGGCGGCGATGCAAGCGCAGAAGAGGCGGGCTTCGGGACCGCGTTTCGAGGCGTGACGTCTGGAAAGGAGGTTAGTAAGAGGGAGGGAGGAGGCGAAGGAGGACGGCGCACTGGTAGAGCTTTTCTTGGTAGAAGTTGGTCGCGAATCCAAGGAGGGACCCGATCCTGCAAAGCGGTCAGAACACCGATTATATGCTGGTTTTTGAGCACATACACCATGGTCATGAAGACTGTACCAATCTGACCAATATTAAAGCCGTGCAGGTCCGTAAACACACCAGCTATCGACCTAAATATCCGTCAGAATTAACACATTTTACCTGAATAAGGGAGCTGCATACTCAATCATGCAATATGTGACGCCCCACGCGAAGCCGATCCACAACTAGGTGCCTCTTCAGCCAGATTCCCAAAATATATGCGCGCGAAACCCTACACTGAAACTCAGGACGACCGGCTCTGTCGTCATCAGATCTATCACCGTAGAAAATCAACCGTCAGTAAAGGTTACTATGCGCCTGTGAACTTGTGCACTCACAAACAGGCCGCGTACACGAGATCCAAATGAGCGTCGACAACTTCGCGCGCTCGTCCTCCACGCGGGCGCGGTAGCGGTGGTCGCCCGTCTCCTTCCTCAGCTTCTTCGCAATCCGCGTGAGGAGGATCGAGGAGCGCGTTTCCTGCATCAGGAAAGGGAGGAGGATGAGGTAGACGCCGCATGTCCTAGGAGACCAATTAATTCGATATCAGCAGAGGTTTAAAAGCGGCGACGAAGAGGAAAGAGGTGTACATCATCTGTATCCATTGTATCCACTTCCACTGGAGGTTTGAGTCCATCTCGATCCAGCCTGCGAAGACAGGCCCAAGGCCGGTTCCGCCTACCGCTGCGAGAGCGAATATTGACATTGGAAGTCCACGTCTGGACGCATATATGAGCATCCAACTAGGCACCAATGAGAGGGTAAATTGGCTCACTCTTTTGCAGACCAAATATCGGCGATGGACCCTCCTACCATCGTCGCGCCAGTTGACCCGCACGCGCCTTGGATGAAACGGGCGATGAGCACTGTCTGGATGTTCTTCGACCTTCAAAGACAAAACCCGTCAAAACTACGAAACACCCCATGTAATAGATGAGAAAAATGACGCACAATGCAATCATCATGTACATCAGCAAAAACCCAACTCCAGACGCGATATACAGTGGCTGTCGGCCAAACTCCTCGCTGAAGGACGCGCTGACAAGCGGGACGACGCCGAAACCGAGCGCATAGAGGCTCAGGCCGATCGTGGCCTGGAAGAATGTGCAATTTAGGTCGCGGACCATGCTCTCGAAGCCCATGTTATATGCTGATGCGGTCGTTGCTGAATGGTGGTGGTAAGCATAAACATATTACGGGACCAGCTAGACGGATAATTAGGACGTAAAAATCGGGCAGCATGTCCCCTCGCGCGGAGCATCGCTTCAAGGAGAAATTGGCGTCCGAGGGTACGCAAGTGCAATATATCGATGGGACCTTGGAGCAGATACGCGTCGGGCCGGATCCAGGAGCGCTTGATGGCAAGCAGACGCCAGGGGTTTGCACGTAGCCAGAAAATAGAACGTAAAAAAATCTTACATGCAAGGAGCGTTGCGAAACACGCGATGCCTGTAATCGTCCACTTCTTGCGCCGTGAAAAGTTGGCAGGGTTCCTCTTGTCGCCGGGCGCGAACTCGATCTGTATTTCGCAGCAAACGTTCAACGCCCGTCTCGGACGAGGGATAAAAGAGGAAGAGAACTCACATAGAGCGGCTCCTCCTGCTTGATCCCTTTTTCCGACAGTGAATCGCGCTTACTCTCGTGTCTCCGGAGAGCACTGGTGAAGCGATGGCTGAGGGTTTCGTCGAGCTCGTCCTCTGTCGGGCGGTTGGCGTCCTCGATGCTGATGCGTGGATCGAGACTGGGCTCACGCACATCCTCCAGAGCCTTGACCACAACTCCTTCCTCGGCGGCGTCGTTCACGAAAAGAGTCGGCGTCGCAGACGCTTCCCCATCGCGCGTCGCGGGCCTTGAGCTGTTCTGGAGGCCCTGTCGCGTCATATCGCCCTCAGAAAGTGGGAGGTGCTTGATGTTCTCCTGCGACATGGCTCGCCGTACTTTTGACTGGGCGGTGGGGGTGAAAGGGAAGGGGAATGGATCACAGGGACCATGGTGGATCTGGTTGTTGCTTTAATACTAAATTATCCCCAAAGCATGCCGCGCATGGGTGGGCTGGTGTTGGCCGCGTCGGTGCAAAGATAATCCGGGAGTGCGGGTGCGCAAGCCGACGGAGGAAATGACATCGTGCCGGAGGTTCCTGCCGCCGGCTGCATCGGCCATGTGAGCCCACGACCCATGATGCCCTGATATCTCTTCAGCACATTTATATCTGCTCAAATTTCTGGTTAAGCCAGCTGCAAAAGGGTTTCAAGCTAGAAATATCCCGACGTCGTTCTATCTCACTCTGAGCCTTAGGCTACAAGGTAAATATCGTCAAGAATAGAGACGTCATCGATATGCATCACTGGACGAAGTAGATTAGTGTTTCTTGAACCAACCAACAACGAAACACGCTGATTCGTCAAAGCCCCTTCCAGTTAGCTTTAGCGCTTTATCTCTGAACCACTCGTTATTCAGGAGGACCGCCATATCTTGTGAGGTTTCGGCCCCTCGTCCTATGACCATCCGTGTAAATCAATGAGTCAAGCAAGATCTCCAAAAGCAATTTAATAATGGAGTCAGATGTCGAGTGGCCAAGCAAATCGCCCGACATGACGCCGTAAACGTTCAATGAAATTAGCATTGATATGTACCACAGTGCCCCGTTCAGCGGACAACAGGAACGCCCGTGAGGTTTCTCTCAAGCAAGCGCCCTCAAAGGGGCATCGTAATTGTCGAGACTTCGCCCAACACCAATTTCGGAATACCAATTCCGAAATTCGTCAGTTCATCAGCAAGTCGTCTCATGACCTTTCCTCCTCGATGTCGGCTATATGACGGACCTGAGCCTATTTCAGATGCTGAAGGCACTTCGATGGTGATTACAAATTTAAACACTATAATTAGAATGATCCTTGGCTAGATTCCTTGCACACTTCGGCTTGATACCACTGGATTGAAAGAAAGTCTCAAAGACGCGTGTTCTCCTGAGAGTCTTCGAAAATTACTGGATTTCTTCCCGCTTAATTCACGCTCAGTGGATGTCGCTTTAAAAGCACTTGTCCGTCAAGTAAATGAAGAGAATGTCTCTTCACCGGCTTTCCGCTCGTTGGATTTCCCGACCGGTGGTGCCTTCGTCGTTCGAAGATGAGATCACGTTGGTCTGACAGATACTTGACTAATTATCAGCAACCTCCGAGGGCGATCGGCCCTCCGTTTCTTCTCCTCCCTCAACGTTTGACCATCG